CCGGTAAGTGCATGCACTGTGAAATTCGACTTGTTTTGTTCATAGCATTGGCACGGCATTGGCCTACTTGGGTTTTACACTTACTTTAACAAAGCACTTTCCCAAGTATCGTTTCCATGGGTGGAGTTGTTCGAGGAGACTCCTTGGTCTATGCTGAACGATGTGATTTTTTTACTTATTTTAAGTTTTCGTTAGTAATAAGTCGTCTAGGGTAGATTATTCTTGAAGCTGAGTTTGTCTTGTTATAATTTAACAGGTTCCATTATCTGATATTCCTCAACCTATCTATAAAGCATCAGTCAATTGGATCAAACAGCATCCATTTGGGGACCTCAGTCATTTTGTATCGTGGGCAATTGAACATATTATCCGCGAACAACATACTTGTGGGGTAATTCTGGAGAGACATCAATCTTATCCCTTTCACCTATACATGTGTGATTGAATGGTGTATCTATCTATCCAGTTACCTTTGTTTGACTAATTCCATTATGTTGTCTTTGTTTTATGATTAGGTGGCACCATTTGTTGCATTAGCAATGGTATTGCGTACTAAACCTAATGTTTTGACCACTCTATTGCCGATGCTGAGGGAGAGAATTATGTTTCAAGGACAGGACAAGCTTCCGGTTACAGTTTGGTTAATGGCTCAGGTAGTGTGAAATTTTTTTCCAAATTTTTAATTAATTTGTGCAAGTTTTTTGAAGCATAAAATTGTGGACAGGCCTCTGAAGGTGATTTATCTGTTGGCCTGTATTCATGGGCGCATAACTTGTTACCCCTAGTCGGTAATAACAAGTGCTACAGCCTTCAGTCGGTGGATCTCATCCTGCAATTGGTTGAGAAGTGAGTCTATTTTTCTTCTGGTCTCCTCTGCTATATAGGATTTCTTAACATTCATCTGATCTTTTTATCCACTCTTCTTATCAGAATTTTGTCGAATCCAGAGTCTAGGACCATACTTGTAAATGGAGCTGTTAGGGATGGAATTCAGCTGATACCACCTACTTCATTTGAGATCTTGGTACGGTTTACCTTCCCTGCTTCATCGGCGAGAGTAAAGGTAAGTAGTATTGGAATTTTTATTAAACAAAAAACTTTGATGCGTTTGTCGATTCTGAGCATGATCATAATCGTTGTATGGGCACAGACCACGGAGAGGTTTGAGGCCATTTATCCCTTGTTGAAGGAAGTAGCTCTTGCACCAGGAAGCAGAGAGATATTTGGTTTTTCGTTGAAATTAGCTGGAGAAGGTATTATTACTAAGTAGTACCAACAAATGAAACCTTAACTTTTCTGCGTCCCTCTGATCTATTCTTCAAATAGACTTGTAATGTGTTACCGTTATTATAGGAAATCCTGTTTTAGCCAAGGAAGCTACAGAAATTGCTATCGGGTCTTTGACCGCAAATGCTGATTGCTTTAAGCAGTGGGACATTCTATATAAGGAGAACCTAGAAGCTAGTGTTGTTCTTCTTAAAAAGCTTGTAGACGAATGGAAGGATCATTCTCTCAAACTAATATCAACACCAAGTGATACTCTCACCCTCAATCGGGCCATGAATAGCTTCAGGCTAAAGGTAAAATGCATCTTTACTCTTCTAAGCTATTCAACTAATTTCACCCTCCACTCTTTTTGAGCTGAATTTTCATTTTCCGACCGGACCTGTGATGTTATTAGAACAAAAAAGCCATCACTAAAAGAGAAGCTCTTTGTTCTATTTACAAAGAAGCTGACAAGTCCTGCAAAGTGATCTTGGGGAGACTCTCCTCCGGAAGTGGCTACCTCAAAGGTATAACAGCTGTTACTACTGCTGGGGCTGTTGTTGTCGGAGCCGTAGCAGGAGCCGTTGCTACAGTAGTCATTGGAGGAGCTACTGGAATGGAATATTTCCAGTAGGTGTAATGAGAGTTGAAGTTCTTAGAATCACAAAGTTGGGATCTGGGTGAATGTTCAAAGGTCGCAAGCTTGTACGTAGAAAAAGCCTAATTAATGCTCTTTAACTAAATTATTTGAAATATCTAACAAATTTGTTTGCTATATATGGATACGATTCATTCTCTCAAACTATTAGATTTGTTTTCTCACGAATTACTGTTTTTGGTTATGGATTTAGGCAAAGGATTTCCTCATTTCTGTCATCTTGTAACTTCCAGCTTCTTTGTTCGTGTTTCTATCATTCTGCTTCCTGTCACCAAATCTCTATTGAGATAACTTTCTGAGAATATGTTTAAACCTGTCACTATTCGGGGAAAGTGTTGCCCACTTTCTCCGTATCATGATTTCTTAAGGTAGAAGCTATTTTCGTCGTCATGTGTAAGATTTAGTGACTATTATGATAGATCCTTGTACTCTCGATCTCTCACAACACTGTCCATGTAAAACTAGAGTAGAATATGAAGTTTACTGATATTGTAATTAACAAATCCGATTACAAGAGTAGCTTAATCTGATAACAAAACAAAAGATCTACGTGCTCGAGCTCAAGCACATCAATCCAGCTTGTTGTCCTTCAACGGCTTCCTTCGAGAATACCGCTGGTGCACCGTATCAATACTCCTTTCCCGGATAACCAGCTTGTTGTCCTCGAGCTCAAACTAAGGAAACAATTGCCCAAACTCCTTTGAAGGAAGCCAAGAATCTTCCTCCACTCCCTGATCGTGCGTGAACCATAAACTTTAATATATTATTAGTTAAATAAGTGCATAGTTTACATCAAGATTCGAAGTAAGAAATGGACTCGTATCACATCTTTTTGTAAGAACTAGAAATTAAAATTAGGTAGTTGACAACTAACTTTTAAGAAAAAATTATTCAAATGTCATAGAAAAATAGGAATATTAGTAATATATCATACTATTTCTAAACATTACTCATATATTTAGTGTTCTTGGTGTAATGACAATTAACACCTTTAGTTAGTTTTTAATTATTATTTTTAAAAATATTTAAAAAAATTCCGCCTCATTATTTTAAATCCACGTTATTAATGAGATATTATAAACTTAGAAGAGAATTTTAAATCCAAAAAAATTCCTATCAACAAAATTGGAAATTTTTAATTTTAGATTAGAGATTATTAAAAATATAAGTGGAATCGAGCCGGTCGAATCTCATATCCCTGCACTTACATATACTTCAGCGAGGAAGACCTTAAGATGCGAAGAATCTGTTGATGCCGAAGCTTTGAGGGAAGACAGATACCTAATCCTCGCCTCTCTCGAACCGTCCGAGTCAACTTCCACATCGGAAGCAACCTCCGCTGGCTTTTGTTTCAGTTTTCGCTTCCGGTTCAAGACTTGGTTGCATCCATTGCCGACCTGGGAGCTAACGGTAGAGGTCTCAAAGTCACTGTCTCCACGGATTTGGTCACATCCCTTTTCGTTTTTTTTACAAACAAACTCTCAGCTCCATGTTTTTCTTCTAAAGTTTCTCGCTTTTCTTTCCAACTATTTCACCATTTGCCGTATATATATTATTATTATATATATGTTAGGGTTGGGAAGGATCTAGATATCTCGTTGAGAGTTTTTATTTTGGGCTATATTAATATGTAATTTAGGCCTCGGCATTCGGGTATCGGTTCGAGTTCGGTTTGGGTATTTCGGGTTTTGGGTGTTCCGGTACTAAAGATTTAGGATCCATTCGGATATTATAAAATTTTGGTTCGGTATTTTTCGGGTTTGGGTCGGTTCGGATAATTGATTGAAGAACCGGAAAATAACTGAATATTTATCGGGTACCGTCCGGATTGGTTACTTTTTATCCAAATGTATCTAAATTTATTCAAATTACCCAAAAATACCCGATAATACCCAAAAAAAAAATATTGATTACTTTTTACCCAAATTTATGCGAAAATACCCAAAAAAAATTAAAATACTAGTTACCTTTTACTAAAATGTATCCAAATTTACTTAAATTATAAAAAAGTATCTACTATATTCGGGTTTATAATTATAATTTTAAGTATTTAGGTTATTACAAGTATACATATAACTACTATATTTAGGTATATGTTTATATATCAGATACTTTCGGATACCTACTGGATATCGGGTTTGGTTCCGGTTCTTTGGGTATATAATTTAGGATCCATTAGGTAATTTAGACCGGTTCCGGTTCGATTCAGTATCTCTAAATTTTGGTCAATTCTGATTCAGTTCTTTCGGTTCAAGTATTTTGTCCAGGCCTAATCTGTATACAGGCCTGGACGTACAGTATATAAGTGAGCATAGAATAAAGCTTCATTTCAAAGTTAGTCATTAACAGGATCATGACATTTTTCTAATTAGTGATCTAAGATTTTAACATATATAAAAAATATAGAAAAGGAAAGCTAACAATTTTATCATGTAAATTAAAAATTTTGGTTTTTAAAGTTATTTAAGTGACGATGACATATGTTATCCATTATTATGTTATATATCTTTTTAATATTTTAATTTTATTATTTGTACTATTTTTATATTTTACATTATTTAGTTTCATTTATTTTTTTTATTTTTTTCTTTTTTACTTAAAATATTAATATTATTAAAAAATTCCACATAATGGGATTTGGTCTTTGACCCATATTACAAAAGCCTTAAAACGGTTACAAAATGGGCCTAAACGGAAACCTAGTTCCGGCGTCGGAAAATTGGATCGGACCTTAGCGATTTGACCGGAAGCAGAGGCGCCTAGCATTAACGCCGGCGAATACAAGGCCGGCGGCTTTGTGGCCGGATCTTTGGAACTGACCCATCCCCGAAAGTATTTGGTTTCTGGCTCTGGTGCTGTTCCGGCAATCCACCAGCCTGCTACAGGCTTCCCAACGTGCGTACACCTCCTACGAACGGCTCTCCGATGATAGATCCTAGTCGGAGCGATCTGTCACACTCGGATCTAACACCTCTCCTCCAGATCCGGCGATTTCCGAGTTTCCCAAGCATCATCTCCTCGATCCAGTCCAGCGGAAACACCAAGGCAATCGGTGCAAAGTTGGTGGCTAAATCCAAACTGTCGCTTCCGATTCCGCGAGACTGAATAGCCATAGTCAGCGCCACCATCAACTTCCATCGCTACAGAAGCTTCCTCTTTGGCGGCTGAGCCGAGGGCTTCACTGAAAGCACGCCGGCGACTTCAAACCTCGCCGCCAAGTTGGAGGAGCGGCCGTAATATCGATGGAGGCGAGGCCGTTGCTGTCGGTGAGAAGGATGATGCTCACTCCCGTTAAGGCCTTTGCGAGACCAAGACCGGCGATGAAGCTCGAGAAAGGGAGATGGAGGCTATCTCACGACGCCGGCAAAGGAGCGGGTGAAGGAGATAGCCTCCGGAACAGTGAGAAGGTGGCGGCGAAACTGGATCTGAGATGAGAGAAAAGTGTTGCTCGGGCGTCGAGTCACGCGTCTTTGCCAATTCAATGATTTTCTTCATAGAGGGAGGAGATGTAATAATTCTCATAATTTGTAATAAAATAATAAAATCAGTGTTAACAAAAAAAATGGAATAGTGGATCTGGGGCAGATGTCACGCTAAACGGTCGGACTGCTTTCTCCATTCACCATTTTAATTAAAGCATATTGCATTCCTTGTTTTGAAATGCGGTTCAATTTCATGAACAAAATTAACGAACCACATGTAAAAGTAACCACACCCCATATTTGTGGATGTACAATAATGATTCGCATGTTCTTTTTTTTTTAAGAAAAAAATTATATGGTTTATTTTTTAAATAAATATTGTCAATATATTGTGAATTTGTGATTCAAATGCAAACTTGATATTTTAAATTTTCTGATGATGATTATTCAAAGTAATGAAAAAACAGAGATTAGGATGATAGATTTTGTATTTTAAGTAGTTTTTTGATTAATTTTTTAATATTTATGACAAACATTTATAAATGACTATGTATATATTAAATATATTTTAATAAGTTTTAATATGCATAAATATTAATAACATCTCGACTAGTATTATATATATATATATATATATATATACAATTTTTTGTTTTAATATGTATCATATTATGTAAAATATTTTATCTACAATTTATATTTTTGACAATATAAATATTTGATATGCATCATTTGATCCGCTTGCACCATTCAAATATACATTTTGAACCGCTAGATCCGTTTGACCCCACTAGTTCTGCGAGATCTGTTTGATCCGCACTTGTTCCGCTTAAACCGTTTGATCCGCTCCGCCTGATTCGCTTTCTCCATTCGGAGCCTAAGGTAGACTAAACCTGTTTTAGTTAAATATGTTAATTTGGATTTGGTTTGGGTTGATCAAATCCGTGTGTTCTATTTTTTTGGTTAAAATTAGTGAAGTCAACTAACAAATCAATTTGACGAAGTTAAGTCAACGTTAACAACTTCCATTAAACTGTAAAACAACGTTGTTCACGACGTACAATATTTGGCCAAGTCAATTCATATGATAAGTTGCTAAAGAATATGATGATCAAATGTGAAGAAGAAGACACGTTTCTTGTAAATATTGTCATCAAATGTGAAGATGAGACTTTGTGGATGAGTATAGGACTTGATCAATTACGATTTCTTGAAATCTTTGTTGCGAATAATCGATGCATATTGTTTGGATATGCAGATGAATCTTGCTAGGGTTTTTAACATGCAACTTTTTGAGTATATCAGGGATGAGATCATGCGGAATCGGATCTAAGCTTCCTCTGCTTGTTCTCAGGTATTCGGAGATCTTCTTTGTTGCAAGCTTCGCTTTCTTGCTTTCCATGACAACGATGTGAAAAAACGGCGTCGATTTCTTTTCTCTCAATTTCTTGGAAATGAAGTAAAAAAATGATGAGTCGATGAGTTGGTTAAACGCTAAGAGTATGAGTAAACGTGGTGCCGTTTTTAAATTTAAAATCAGGGAAAGTTTGAAAGGATCTATCAATTAAAACAGTATAAGGCTTTCCATTATAATATCAAACATCGAAATGACTGTTATCCACAAAAATCATTATTTTGTGAAAAGTTTGTTAATTTTCTTGATTATAAAAGCGTGATTTTTTTTTTTTTTGGTAGGATATAAAAACGTGCTTCTGTACATCTAGAAAATTCTGAAAAATGAGTTTTTTTTTTATTATCAATATTTGATTATAGTGGTGTCCAATCCCCAATATATT